AACATCTTGGGTCATTAACACATGATGTGGTATTCACATTTGTACTGATCTGTAGGGACTAAGGTAGAGTATAGTGCTCGCCAAGAGAGAGGTGGACCTACGAGTTGGAAATGGACCACATGTGGCTGCATTGGTTGTAGGGACTTACTGTTTATGTGTGGCTACGGGCTTGTTATTGGAACTACATAACTGTTATCACGTACCTTCTATTTCTAAAAATATTATTTCAGTATCCACTTTGGATAATATGGGGTATCATTTCGAGATATCTAAGGATTGTTGTCCTTTAGTTTGAATGGTATTCTATTTGGAATTGCAAGGTTATATAATGGATTATATGTTCTTGATTTAAACAATAAAGATATTCTCAATATTGAAACCAATAAAGCTAAACATAGCGATCAAAACCAGACATATCCTTGGCACGGTAGATTGTGTCATGTTAATAAGGCTCGCATTGCAAAACTTCAAAAGGATGGAGTTTTGGACCCTTTTGACTTTCAGTCATTTGAGGTATGCGAGTCATGCCTGTTAGGCAAGATGACCAAGTCTCCTTTCACAGAACAAGGTGAAAGGGCTACTAAACTGTTAGGCATCATCCATAGTGATGTCTGTGGTCCACTAATAGTTGAGGCCAGAGATGGATATTCATACTTCATCGCATTTACTGATGATTTCAGTAGATATGGCTATGTCTACCTTATAAGACATAAATCTAAAGCCTTTGATAAATTCAAGGAATTCAGGAATGAAGTATAGAATATGATGTGCAAAAGTATTAAAGTTCTTTGGTCGGATCGAGGAGGTGAATACTTAAGCTTAGGGTTTTCAGAGTACCTGAAGGAATGTGGGATAGTATCACAGCTCACCCCTCCTTATACACCCCAACACAATAGAGTGTTAGAAAGGAGGAACATGACCTTACTTGACATGGTTAGGTCCATGATGAGTTTTAGTGATTTACCTGCAGCGTTCTGGGGTTATGCCTTAGAGACCATGACTCACGTTTTGAACCGTGTGCCGTCAAAGTCTGTAGATAAGACTCTATATGAATTATGGAGTGGGCAAAAGCCCAACTTGTCTTATCTAAGGATTTGGGGTTGCAAAGCTTATGTTAAGAATTTGACTTCGAACAAGCTTGGCCCAAAATCCTGTAAATGTATATTTGTGGGGTATCAAAATGAGACCAAAGGATACTATTTCTACCACCTAGAAGAGCGCAAAATTTTTGTTGCTCGATCTAGTGTCTTCCTAGAAAAGGAATATTTTCTAAAAAGTACTAGTGGGAGAAAAGTAGAACTTGATGAAGTTCTAGAACCACAAGATATACTGGATGAAGGATGGGATGATGTGCTACACGAAGTGGTTGAACATCATGAGGAGGTCACTCCACAACTTGTGGATCAAAGTGAACCACCTCAGGTAGCATAGGAGCTACGTAGATCTGGGAGAGTATGCCATGAGCCCGAGAGATACGGTTATCTCGTGACTTAACATGGTGACGTACTAGTCTACCAAGACGATGAACCCAGAACCTACAAAGAAGCTATATCGGATCTAGATTCCGTTAAATGGCTTGAAGCCATGAAATTTGAGATGGACTCCATGTACCATAACCGAGTGTGGTCTCTGGTGGAACCATCTGAAGGGGTAAAACCCATAGGGTTTAAATGGGTCTTCAAGAAGAAGACTGACATGGATGGCAAGGTGCATACTTATAAGGCGCGACTGGTTGCCAAAGGTTTCAAACAAACTCATGACATTGACTATGAAGAAACCTTTTCACCGGTTGCCATTATAAAATCCATTCGGATTATGCTTGCGATTCTGCATATCATGACTATGAAATTTGGCAAATGGATGTCAAAACAGCTTTCCTGAACGGAAACCTTGAGGAGGATGTGTATATGACACATAGTGATGGTTTTGTTCTTGATGGGTAAGCTGATAGGGTATGCAAGTTGCAAAGATCCATATATGGACTGAAGCAAGCTTTAAGGAGCTGGAACATTCGTTTTGATGAAGCTGTAAAAGAATTCAGTTTTATCAAGAACGAAGATGAGCCCTGTGTTTACAAGAAAGTGAGTGGGAGCGCAGTAGCATTCCTAGTGTTGTATGTTGATGACAGACTTCTAATCGAGAATGATATACCAAACTTGCAGTCAATAAAGACTTGGTTATCCAAGTGCTTCTCCATGAAGGACTTAGGGGAAGCAACCTACATCCTTGGAATAAAGATCTATCGTGATAGATCGCGTAGGCTGCTTGGCCTAAGTCAGAGTGAATATATTGACAAGGTACTAAAAAGATTTAGTATGGAAGAATCCAAGAGGGGATTTCTTTCGATGTCACATGGTGTTTATCTCTCTAAGGAATTGTGTCCTAGAACACAAGATGAGAGAGATAGGATGAAGAGGATCCCATATACATTAGCAATTGGATCCATCATGTATGACATGCTATGTACTTGGATTGATATCTCATGTGCTTTAAGCACTTATAGTAGATATCAATCAGATCTAGGTGAGTATCACTAAATGGCTGTCAAGAATATTCTTAAGTACCTGAAGAGGACTAAGGATATGTTCTTGGTTTATGGAGGGGAAGATGAGCTCACTGTAAGAGGATACAGTGATGCTAGTTTCCAAACGGACAAAGATGATTATTGATCGCAATCAGGGTTTGTATTTTGCTCAATGGTGGTGCAGTGAGCTGGAAGAGCTCCGAGCAAAGCACTGTAGTGGACTCTACAATAAAGGCTGAGTATATTGCATTGTCAGATGCGACCAAGGAGGCAATCTAGATTAAGAAGTTCGTTACTAAACTTGGTGTGGTTCCCACAATTATTGATCCTATAGACATCTATTGTGACAAGAATGGAGCAATTGCTCAAGCTAGGGAACCACAGTCTCATCAAAAGTCCAGACATATACTCAGACGATTCCATCTCATTAGAGAGATAGTTCAGAGGAAAGACGTACAGATTAGTAAAGTGCATACTGACAACAATCTCGCAGATCCACTGACAAAGCCTCTGTTGCAGTAGAAGCATGAAAGGCACTTGAGATCATTTGGTATTAAATACATGAATGATTGGCTATAGTGCAAGTGGGAGATTGTTAGAGTAGATGCCCTATAGCCAATCAATTATTGTAGAATTGACTCTTTGTAATAATGTTCATTAATCAATAATAAAAGGCATTTCATTCTATATTGCGTAAATCATTATTATTGCAATATGTATTGATATATGTCCTTAGAATGGTAGAACCATGACGAGGGTATCAAGTGTTTCAAATCTTGATAGTGAGAGCCCTATGAGCACATATGGTGGCCATACTAGAAACATCCGTAGCCCCAGTATTATTCTGAAGTAAGGGCACAAATAATACGGTAAGGCTATCATAGTGTTGAACGACCTTGTCGAAAGGCAGTGACTGATCTCACTTGTCAAGGTTGTTTGGTGACAACCTGGTGCAACACATGGCTACTTGCTGTAGGCGAATACACCGCAGCAAGTTCACTGGACTGATTCACCACAGGATTCCATATGGATGGTAACCCTAGTGTCTATGGAACAAATCCTCTAACAAATGATGGTACATGTGATCCTTAGACTTAAGATCACTAGAGCGCCTTGTGCACCGATTGGTTTAGTTTGACACTAGCCTAACGCAGTTCTATTCAGAGCTGTCAATACGATGGCGATTGGCTGCATCAATAAGTGTATCAAGACTATGGTCGATAGACAGAGGATTCATCACTCCCGGGTATGGGAGAAGTTATCTTATGGCGCAATTCAGTATATGGCAATGACACTAAAACTGTCGTCACAGTGGGATTGAGTTATTGCTCTATCCAGTTTATAATACAGGTCATTGGTCTAGAAACTGAATACATAATATTGAGAGTAACCGAAGGTTGACACTATTTCTATGCCTTCATCTCATCGAGATAACGTATGATGAAAGGATCGAATTGTACGATAACCATATCGTTGATAGGTAGCTAATTTGCTGAATCCGAATCTATCAGTTGGCCATGATGCCTTGCTAGGGGCCAATCTTGGTCTGTGTATTAGTGGGACGATTAATTGGTGTTAATCGCGATACTATACACTACCGGTATGATGAGGAGTCTATGGGTCACACACATAAAAGATAATTTAAGACTTAGGAAGTAAGAAGGGCGTTTTCGTCTTTTCAGGTGAAATGGTATTTTGGTAATTTCACAGTGCAATTAAAGTTGCTGAGGTCGTAGCCTTTATTTAATTTGTTAGAAAAATTAAATAAGTGAAATTACATTTAAATATGTGTTAGCATATATTTAAATATATTATTATTATTGTTAAATGTTAATATATATATTAATTGATTTTAATTGAGATAATGATGAATTAAAATAAATATCTAATTGGGAGTGTTTGGAAACAAGGGGTGTTTGGGTTGGAGCCCAAGCCTATTCCATATGGGAATAAGGGCTATTAAATTTTACTATAAAAGAAAAAGGTTAATTGAAAAAGAAGAGATATTATTCATTTCACTCATTTCATTAAAAAAGGAAAAACACACAGCCCCTAAAACACTCTCTCCCACGCTGGATTTGTTTTTTTGTTAAAGGTCAAATACATTTCTTTTCTTCTTTGTTCTTAAGATTAAAGAGGATCTAGCAAATCCCTCTTTAGTCCCTTGCAATTATCTTCATGTGGACTACGTCGGTTCGATCCTACACTTAGGTCGGTAGCAAAATACGTTCCGAGACAAAGTTGGAGGAGCCTCCAAACATGCATATGATTTCTTAAACTCTAGATTATTTTTCTACAGATTCTTATTTTGATATAAACTGTAAATTTGTGCCTTGATCTTGGTTCTATGGAACGATCTGTATTGTTAAAAGTTTTTATTTTCCGCTACGTAAATGGATTGCTTCCTAATAGGTGTTAAGGTGATAGTCTACACGGATCATTCGGCACTCAAGCACCTATTGCAAAGCAAGAAGCGAAACCTCGGCTGATAAGATGGATCCTATTACTACAAGAGTTTGAGTTGGAGATCTGAGATAAAAAGGGGTCAGAAAATATAGTGGCAGATCATTTGTCAAGGATTGAACAACCAACCTTGGGAAGTGAAGAGGAAACCCAAATCAAGGAAACCTTCCCGGATGAGAAATTGATGAGAGTTAAAGAAGCACCTTGGTATGCAGATATTGCAAACTACTTGTCATCGAGAGTGCTCCCAATTGGCATGGCCTTCCGGCAAAAGAGGAAGTTTTTCTCAGACTTGAAATATTATTTTTGGGAAGAACCATTTCTGTATAGACATTGTGCTGATAAAATGATACATAGATGTGTCCCGGAAGAGAAGATGGAGAGTATTCTACGGCATTGCCACGAGAGAGAAGTGGGTGGTCATTTTGGAGGAACTAGGACAACAGCCAAGGTCCTTCAATCTGGATTTTATTGGCCAACCCTATTCAAGGATGCCTTCCGAGTAGTTTAGGAATGTGACCAATGTCAATGGAGTAGAAATATTTCAAAGAGAGATGAGATGTCGTTAAACAATATCCTAGTTGTTGAGTTATTTGATGTGTAGGGAATTGACTTCATGGGTCCTTTCCCAAATTCTTATGGGAACATGTACATTTTGGTGGCAGTGGATTATGTTTCGAAATGGGTGGAAGTAGTTGCATTGCCATCCAATGATGCCAACGTGGCGGTTAACTTTGTGAGAAAGAACATTTTCTCAAGATTTGGGGTACCACGGGCAATCATCAGTGATGGGGGGCCTCATTTTTGCAGTAGGCAATTAGATGCACTATTGGGAAAATATGGAGTGAAACATAGAGTGGCCACACCATACCATCCTCAGACTAGCGGGCAAGTGGAACTGTCGAATAAAGAACTTAAAGGAATTTTAGAGAAGACAGTTAATGCATCTAGGAAGGATTGGTCAAGGAAGTTAGACGATGCATTATGGGCATACCGCATTGCATTCAAGACTCCAATTGGTATGTCTCCATTTAGGTTAGTATATGGGAAAGCATGCCACTTGCCAGTGGAACTCGAGCATAAGGCATATTGGGCAGTCAAGAAGCTAAACATGGATTTATGAGTTGTTGGGGAGGAGAGGATGCTGAATTTGAATGAACCCGATGAGTTCTGTCATGAAGCATATGAGAATTCTGGGATTTACAAGGAAAAGATCAAGAAGTGGCATGACAAGCATATCAGGAAGAAGAACTTTGAAGTGGGTCAAAAAGTTTTGTTGTATAATTCTAGACGTAGGCTCTTCCTTGGAAAACTTAAGTCTAGATGGTCCGGACCCTTCATAGTTACAAGAGTTTACCCATACGGGGTGGTGGAGGTGTCACATGAAGAAAAGGGCACATTTAAGGTCAATAGATAGAGATTGAAGCCATACATTGATGGGGTGATGAGTTGCAAGTGACATCCCGACATGAGGACTTGAGAAAGTCAAGCTTCTGACTATAAACAAGTGCTTCTTGGGTGGCAACCCAAGTGTCTTCAATTTTTTGTTTGTTGTTTGTTGTTTTGAATTTGTTTAGTTATTTTATGGTTTAGAATAATTTTAATTTCATGTGTTTTTGGGTGTTTCAGGTGAATTATCAAATTAAGGCGAAAAAAGGAATTTTCTAGTTTTCACCGCGACGAAGATTTTTCTTCACCGCGACAATGTACGCTTTGCACAAAATGGAAGTCGAAAAGTCCAGAATTTGCCGCAGCATTGTTTTCTATGGACTTTTTCGCTTTGGCAAGACAATTTTCTTCATCGCGGCATAGAAGATTGCAGAATTGTGCTACGGAATTTTTGCTGCGACGAGAATTTTTCTTCGTTGCGGCATCGACTAGGAGTTAAGAACTTCGCCGCAATGAAAACTGTTTTATATAAATTCGCGTCATGACTCTTCATTTTTGTGAAAAAATTCAAAACACTTCCACCTTCAATCCAGAGCTTCTCCAGTGAATTTCCAACCCTTTACCTTACTCCTTAACCCTCACAAACACTAAACTAACTCATTTTAGCAAAGATTTTTGTGAAAATTCGAAGAAAATTTTGGAAACCCTTGGTTTTCAAAAATTGGGGATCTTGCAATCTAAGCCGTAATTGGTGAAATTGGTGGTGCATTCAGTGTGAGAAAGGTAAGATTTCAAGTTCTCCAATATCTAAATTGCTCAATTTTGATTGTAGTGCTTTAAGTTTGAAATATTGTTTGAATGTGTTGAGTTATGGATTTGTGGTGAAGTTTTGATTTGATATTGATTAAAGGAGTGTGGATTTTGCTTTTTGTTGTGTTGAAGAAGTTGGATTTTCAATTGGGGAGTGTATTGTTTGAGTTTGGAAGAATAGTGAGTTTGGGGGTTTAGGTGCAAAATTTTGAAACTTTGGGTTTTTCTTAAGAGTGATTGGGGTCGGTAATAAGGGCACTTAGCGTTGAATTGTCTGGTTGAATTCTTAGTTTGAGGGTTCATTTGAGTATTCACAAGGAAAACCAAACATGCCGATGAAAATAGCTTCCAAGGGTAAAGGAAAAGGGAAACAAGTAGACAATAGGTTTGTTAGTGACAAGGCTCGGCAACATTATGAATGTGCAATCAAAAGAAAAGATAAGGGGTTTATTGCCGAGCGTGGATTGACCACTGTCCATGCAAAAGAGTGGAGTCGAGGGAGAAAGTGGGACAGATTCATGAGTGACCCTGAACATCTAGCCATAGAATCGATAGTGAGAGAGTTTTATGCCAACTTCCCTGAGTGTAATCCTAGGCATGTATTTGTGAGGGGTATTGATGTGTTAATCGATGCAAAGGTAATCAATGATTTCTATGGACTGCCTCCAATTGACCGTGATGTGTATCTGGAATTTAAGAAGAGACAGTTTAAGGAGGATGATATTCTTAAGGTCATTGCAAAACCGGATACCCCTTGGGAGATTTCGAAGAAGGGAAGGAAGAGCATTAAGGGAACTAATTTGATACCTATGGCTAGGTTGTGGCACTACTTTGTGTGTGCGTGGATGATGCTGGAGACGAATTATAGTACAGTGACTTTTGAGAAGGCATTGTTGCTTTATTCCATTGCCACCGGAAAGAAAGTGGATGTGGGGAACATTATCATGACGAGTATATAGAATGCAGCCAAACCAAGGCGAGGGAGCTTCCCCTTCCCATATCTCATCACTGAGCTGTGCACTCAAGCGGGAGTCGAGAAGGTAGATGATGAACCACTTATCCATTCTTCCCTAGTCCTCAACACCAACTACTTTGACAAGCATCTTGAGCGTCCACCTAGTGAAGGACCCAGATCTGGAATGAAAAGATAGAGAACCACAGAAGACACTTCCACATCATCCAGTTCAACATCCACAACAAAGGAGTTGCTACAGCAGATTTTGGGTAAGATAAAACGGATGGAATAACGTCAAGGTTGGCTAGCAGAGCAGACCCAGATGCTGTATGACATGCAACACATCTGTTGCACCAACCTAGGCATTGATACTTCGAGTTTCCAATGGGAAGACTAGGATTCCAAGGAATGTATGGGCTCCGAATCAGAAGATGACGACACCAAAGGAGAGGAGGAGGCCGAAGAATGAAACCTGAGCACCTGTTTTGTAGTTTATTTTTGTTTTAATTGTCATTGTCTTTTATTTTGTACATTGAACCTAATTTTCTTTTTGTTTTAGATTGTTAATTTTTGTTTGAACTTCCTAGTAGTTGTAAAGGCGAGATTAGGTTGTAATATTTTCATATTAGTTAGTGAAATTTTCTAACACAGTGGACGCCACAGGATTTCAATTGTTTTATAGATTATGGTGATGAGAAAGCCAAGGAACCAGTGTGCATGTTGTTGAATGGAACTTTGACTTCACTGATTAATCAGGGAACTATCTCGTACCTTTGTAAATTCTATTTTTCTATTCCTAAATTGTGCATAATGTGACACTGGGGACAATGTAATTTTGGGTTTGGGGGTAGGAAAATTTCAAAAAAAAATTATTTGTGTTTTAGCATTTTCATGTTTTGTTTTGTTGCACCAATGATGAATTGCATAAGTCTATGATGAGAATAGGATTGTTGGGATTTTATTGTTGAAAAATGTTAAGCATTGCTTCAAGTTTAGGGTTGTTGACTTGATTTAGCTTGAGGTTTGTTGAGTGGTTAAACCACCATTTCCATTATTTTGGCATGCTTAGATTCATTTTATGTGGTTAGGTGAAGTCTTGATAATGTTGGTGGACTCTAGAACCTAGTTGAGAAGTGCTTGAGGCAAAATTCTAGGAATAGACATTATTGAGGAGTGATTTAGGCAGTTTTTCAAAACATTTGAGCCTTTCCAGCCAACCATGAAAATTTATCCCTAGTCACCCATTTGAGCCTTATGAAATCATTGTTGTCCTATTTTTCTTGTGCAACCAATAATGCCCAAACCTTTCACCCTAAACACGTTTCACAACCCTTAAGAGAATTTTGAACTTAATGCAAACACAAAGTGCTTGGAGAGTTGTGTGAAATGCTGGTGAACTAAAAGATTAGTTTGGGGGTCGTGAGAAGGGCAAGAAGAAAAAAAAAGGGGCAATTAACCTCAATAAGTTTATTGTTGCTCTTTAAAAAAAAAAAAAAATTTGAGAGTTGCATTTCAGAAGCAAAAATAAGAAGCGCACATGTTTGAGGGTTATAAAATGGTTGACATGTTCAGCGGTGGTTGAGAAAGAAAGTGGAAGTCGATGTAGTTCTTAGTGTTTGGTTAAAGGAAACCAAGTTCTCTTGTTTTGTTTATCTTTTCCTTTTCTTTGGAGCCCACTAACCGAGCCTAACGTTACAAGCCTGTAAAGACCTTTTGATCCTTAGTGATGTCTAATCCTCATTAGTGGAGAGTAGTTCGATACTTAGGCTTATGGAGTCTGCCACCATTTGATAAACTTCGCATTGTTGCATAAAATAATCTAGGAAGTTGGAATGTGGACTGAAGTGGGGATTACCTACACAGGGGACCAATAGAGAAACATAGTCAGTTTAACTTATAACTTCTTGGAGTGTTGAGCATTTTCCAGTAATAATTTTTCAACAATTTTTGAGACTTGTATAAATTCTAGGCAGTTCTTTGTGTGTGATTTTTTATTTTAGGTTTTCTCATTTCATTTTCAATTTTGTTGTATTGTGTTTTTGTTTGTCTGGTGTTTTTTTCTTTTTATTGTTTTTTGTAACTGATGCTCGGGGACAAGCATGCCTTTAGTTTGGGGGTATTTGATAATCCGAGGATTATACTGTTTTATTTAGGTTTTTTGGCCGGATTTTGGATACTTCTTATGTCGTTTTTTCCTGAATTGCAACTTAATTTCACATATTTTATGTTTCAGGCCAAAACATGCACTTTGAGCAAATAATGAGTGGAATCGAGTTCCTGGACCCAGAAGCGAGCGAATCTCAGAATTCGGAGAAGTTCATAAGCGGATTTGAAGCACTATGAAGCTTGTTCCCATTGGAAAGCATCGAAGATCGAAGATTCAAGCAAGGAAGCAAGCGGAGGGCAATTCCATAATTTCAGAATTGTTCAGCAAGGTTCGCCATGGCGAAGTTCTTTCTTTGCCACGGTGATAAACTCTCGGGAATTCGTTGCCGCGACGAAGTTTATTCTTTGACGTGGCGAGGTCTGCGATTTTTAGTTTTCTTCAAAACACATATCTTTATTTTAGGAAAGTTTTAGGTTTTTGGGCGGACTATTTAAGAAAAACTTTGCCATTTTAAGAGGGGTTCATTTGGTTGTTGTCTGGTTTTGAGAGTAGCTTTGACATTTGGGGAGAAAGGAAGAGACGATTTGAGATTTAACCTTCTGGATTCATCAATTAGGGGAGATCTTTACTCTTTTCTCGTTGTTTCAACATGTTGACTACTGTATTTACTGTTTTTCTTTCGAATTGTGTTAATTTCGTTATGAACTAACTCACTTTGGGTTAGGATTTTGATGTAATTCGGATTTCTTTGGTTAATCAATAGATTATAATTGCTTTTACATTCTATTGCATGGAATGTGTGATTATTCTGATTTTAATTGATTTTATTTGTTGAACATGATGAGATTGAGAAATGAATCGTGTTGAGCTTCTTGGGTAATCGCCATTGTTGCATTGAATGCTAGAGATAGGTTTGAGAACCAATGAGATCAATTTAGGATTCTATTAGCTTAATGAACTTGGATCTATTAATCTTCAATTTGTTCGGTGCGGAAGCT